GAGGAAAGGTCTATTACTTGTTAACACCAATCGAATCTATCAATTCTTGTGACTCCAACAACCAAACTCTAATAATCTTCTTTTACAACAAAATAAATAATAATAGTAATACCAACAAAAATGTCGATCTTTAATGTATAGAAACTAGGGCTGGGCATTCGGGGTCCCAATCGGGTTTCGGTTCGGGTTCATTCGGGTTTCGGGTTTTCGGGTTCATGAATTTCAGCCCCATTCGGATATTGTAAAAATTCGGGTCGGATTCGGTTCGGGTTTAATCGGGTTCGGTTCGGATTTAGTAACATGTCAAAAATCCAATTGAACCCGAAATAGTTTCGGTTTCGGATACTTATTGGGTTATGGATTCTAAAAATACTAATTTATACTCAAATCAATTCACTATATTTTCAATCTTTTTATTAAACTGTGTATTTAGCTTCTACAAACCATATTGTTCTGCTTTTAAATAGTATTATGAAACTCATCTATCAACAATATAAGATTTGTCATTGAACTATATGTGACAACACTAAACATATCATGATTAATGATAAACCAAAGTCTTGTATGAACGAAAATCATACATAATGAAACATAAAAAGTTAAAATTAACAGCTAACAATTATATAAACGTAAGAAGTAATATTGAAAATTTAAAAAACAACATTATTTAAACTTCAAAACAAATTTATTCGTAACTTAACTTCAAATGTAGTGTCAATCATAAACATTAGTAACAGCCAAATAACACTTTATATTAGACTAAATATTTGAGTTAATTATTCATATCATAACTAATTATTATATGTATTCAATAATATATTAATGTGTTTTGGAAACATATTAGAAATTTAGATTAAGTATGATATACGTTTTTTTGGAATTTTAAAGTTTCGGGTTCTTTCGGATATCCATTTAAGTTCGGGTTCGGTTCGGATAAAACCCATAACCCGAAATACCGTAAAACAAGATCCATTCGGTATTTATGTCGGGTTCGGATCGGTACGGATTCCTTTTTATCGGGTCGGGTTCGGTTCGGATTTTCGGGTTTCGGTTTTTTTGCCCAGCCCTAATAGAAACTTATTAAAGGGGTAGTTTTAGCAAATTTTAGAAACATAGGAGGAAAAAAGTGTAAAATAAAAAAGGCGCCAACGAGAGTAGGGAATACTGTTACAAATGAACCAATCAAAAAACGAAACCTTTCTACTCTAAACTAACAGTTGTCTACTTCAAAGATGACGCAATCCCCCACTCCAGTTTAAGAACTCAGTGGCAAAACCGTAATATATAAATCCTCACAAACCCTTCTTCGTCATTTAACATCTTTCGTCTTCCTTCTTTCACTACTCTCTCTCTCTTCTGAAGCACTCAAAAAGAGTAAAGTTCTCTGCTTTTAGATTCATCTCCTCTCTCTCTCTAGAAAATGGCGGGTCGGATCCAATCCCATCAGCTACCTAACGGACTCTACGTTTCAGGAAAGCTCGAGCAACCCAAAGAGCCACGACCACCGACAATGGCGGCTCGAGCCATGCCTTACACCGGAGGCGACATTAAAAAATCCGGCGAGCTCGGAAGGATGTTCGACATCACCGTCTTAGATCCCCAAGTCCCGCCGCCGCTTATCGTCGGCGGTAACAGCAGCGGCGGCAACTCGAGACAGCAGGCGTCGTCGCCACGTGTCTCCGGTTCAAACCCCAACAGTGGATCCGTTTGGTCCGGACCCAACTCCGGGTCGGTTAAGAAGTCTTCGGGTCCACTCTCGCAGCTCCAGCCAACCGGTTTGATAACCTCCGGTTCGCTATCCGGTCCGATTGGGTCCGGGTCGAGACGGTCGGGTCAGATGGACCGGCAAGTTAGTAACTTGGGGTCGAGCAAGGCGAAGTACGGGTCGTCGGTGACGAGTTTGAGTGCAGACCCGGTTCGGGTCGGGTTTAAGGTGCCGAAGACGGTTGTTTGGGCGGTGTTGATTGTTGCGGCGATGGGGTTGCTTGTGGGGGTGTTTCTAACTGTGGCGGTTAAGAAACCGGTTGTGATTGCGGCGGTTATAGCGGCGGTGGTTCCAGCTGTCGTGGTGTTGTTGTGGAACTGCGTTTGGGGAAGGAAAGGGTTGTTGAGTTTTATTAAGAAGTATCCAGATGCTGAGCTTAGAGGCGCTGTTGATGGACAGTTCGTTAAAGTTACTGGGGTAAGTGTTCTAGTTTTGTCTTTTAATAGTTTAAGTTTGGTAATTAGAATGTGGTTTGGTATGGATCTAATTGAAATGTTGAAACTTTTTGGTAGGTTGTAACATGTGGAAGCATTCCTCTGGAGACTTCATACCAAAGAACACCGAGATGTGTTTATGTTTCCACGGAGTTGTATGAGTACAAAGGTCTTGGTGGAAGATCCGCTAATCCAAAACATAGATGCTTTTCTTGGGGATCTAGACATGCAGAGGTTAGTTAGTATTATATTTGTCTCGTCGACTAGTACGAGATTTGATCAAGTCTGATGTGTTTTATGTTCTGTGTTTGTAGAAATATGTTTCGGATTTTTACATATCAGATTTTCAATCTGGATTGAGAGCGCTGGTGAAAGCAGGATACGGAGCAAAGGTTTCTCCTTTTGTCAAACCGGCGACAGTGGCTGATGTAACGGCTCAGAACAAAGACTTGTCTCCCAGCTTCCTAAAGTGGTTATCGGATCGTAACCTCTCAGCTGATAACCGTGTCATGCGTCTCAAAGAAGGGTATGTAGGCGTTTACTTTGACTAGTACTCATGGATTTTCTTACCACATTAAAAGTCTTGAGCATGGAAAAATATGTGTTGAAGCATGTGCTGTAGGAAGAAATCTGTTAATTTCTCACATCAGTGTTTGATAAGTTTGAAGTGATGGGGCTTAGAAGTTTGAATTAGTACTAAAGTTAGTGAGACCTCAAAAAGTCACCGTTTTTTTAGTACAAAGATTCTTTTTGACTACTTTTATGCAGACTTGAAAGCTATTAGTTTCACATTTGCAACGAAAGAGAGAACCCTGTGGAAGATTTAAATGCTAAATTATTATGTGGGGATGTTCAGATATATCAAAGAAGGAAGCACGGTGAGCGTGATGGGGATGGTGAGAAGACACGACAACGTTCTGATGATTGTTCCTCCTGCAGAAGCTGTCTCTAGTGGCTGCCGCTGGTGGCATTGCCTCCTTCCTACCTACGCAGATGGACTAATCATCACCTGCGACGATAATCAAAACGCTGATGTCATTCCTGTCTAAAACCCAATATGTATCTAATGCTTTCTTTTTGACCCCCCATATTCAATGCTTAAGAGTTAGGCTCACGAGACTGAGGAATGAGAGCAGGGCTCAGTTTGGTTTAAAAAGGAAACCAACTTGGCTTTGTCTTTTACGATGACCTTATTAGCTGTTCGTTTTGCCCGTGTCCCTCCTATGGGGTTTATTTATGTTTGTTTGTGTACATAATGCTCCAAATTGTAAATACTTCAATAAATATTTTGTTGCCATCAACTATTCACTGCATCAAGAGAAACTACTTAAATAAATATTATGTTCTTTTTGAGTGCACTAATAAGATGAGAAACATATTGGGATATTTATTCTTCTTTCTATACTGCAAATCATACATACATTAGAGTTAGTAACTTAAAGTCTTCACGTGTCTTTTAACTGAACTCAAAAACAAATCACACATCTATACATATAGAGACGCATATGTATTGTATCTTGAGCTGAACCAAAAATACCCCTTTAGTTGTAATTAAACAAAACAGGAGGAAGAGAGAAACGTATCATCATTGCCACCGTGAAAAGTGTTTGCCCCTTCTTCTTCCCCATATCTTTATGCCAAAAACGATACAATCCTATATTTTATAATGTGATCATCAAATACCTTAATCATGGTATGTTCACTGTCAAGAAAACAAAAAGAGTTACCAAAGGATTGCCAATGGAAGATTCTATTTAAAAACAAGATAAAACTGGTTTTTAAGGGAATTATACCGATTGTTTTATTGAGCAACCATAGAAGAAGAGCAAGTTCAATGCCGAAAATGGTATGCAACCATGATCTATCCACTAGGAATCCATACACTGTGATCCCAGCTTTATTGTTCTCTAGATACGTCACTGCAAAACAGAACAATCATCATGTATAAAAGTTTCGTAAATTGGAATCTTATATCATTTTCATCAACGGAAACTAGTTTTTTTTTGTTGTTGTTGCATACCTAGAGCTTGACGTTTTTGATAAGAAATGGTATTGGCGTAGATGGGATGTATCTTGGTATTGTCAAGTTCATCGTCTCCTTCTCCTTCCTCATCATCAGATGTATCCATCGCATTCCGACATGTTGATATCTGTGACTCAACATTTGAAGCCGTAGGAGTTTCTCCATCATGAACGTTCTCAAACGAGTCCACCGTGGCGCACACGTTCCATTTCGCTGCAAGGCTTGTCACAGATTGAGCCTTGTGAGTTATCTTCGTCGCACTTCTCAAACATATGAATACTCCTGTTACCAAACTCAACGAACATAACTGTAATAAAAACAAATGATTAGTACTAATCACACATTATAAATCATCTTCTAATGTTCTCAAAGAGTTCTTACCGCAAGCTCGCCAACTTCGTAGATATTAACAGCAACACTAGCTCTCGTGGTGGTAAGCAAAGCCATGAACTGAGTAGCGGTAACAAGAATCAAAGACAAGAGAATGAATCTCCTGAAACGATGACTAACAACCCTCAAGTTTCGACGGATCTTCTGATGTTCTGCGAGAGCTGAGCCAACGTCTGTGATCTCAGAGGCGAAGCAGCGTGCAAAGTCGTTGAGACGAAGTGTCTGGAGATGGCATGTGATTTGGTAGAGGATGCAGACGGTGATGAAGATGGCGTTACGGTAGAGCCAAGAAGAGAGCTGGAGAGTGCAGGCTATGATGTTGCTTAGAAGAGGGTTGATGAAGTAAGGAATCTGGTCGGAGCCAGAGACGTACCACCAGATTCTGTAGGTTGCTTCGAGGGTTAATGATGGGAGGACGAAGATCATTAAGCGTTTCTTTGATCTCTGTAATCATGAAGAAACAGTTAATTAAAGTTAAATACAGATGGTAACAACATCCGACCTTAGCTCAGTTGGTAGAGCGGAAGACTGTAGTCTGTGACAGCAAATCTTTAGGTCGCTGGTTCGATTCCGGCAGGTCGGATTTTTTTTCCTTTTTTTGTTTTGCGTTTTTTTTTGGTAATTTACGAAAAGAGAAAATGAAGCGTTACGCTTCAACAACTTATAAAAACTAAAAATTGTCGGCCATGAGAATATGATTGTTTCTGTACAGTGACTTTTATTCAGATATTTTTATTGTATCATTTTCAAATAATTTGATGCTTTTTTGAAAGAAATATCTCAAAAGATTCCTGGTTTTGAATTAATTTTCCGTTGATTAAAACATGGATTCAAAGAAACAAAAAAAAAACCTAAGCTTTTGTTATATATTAAAAATTTCCTTTTATCTTTTTTCTTTTTTTGAACTAAAAATTTTCCTTTTATCTTTTTTAAAAAAATTAGTGAAGATGATTGTTGCGTTTACTATGTTCTGCAATAGAAAAAACGAGACTGGAAATTAATAGAGAACACTAATAAATATGTGTCAGTTTCTAGCTTCCTATCACATCATCATTACATCGTTTGGTAAAGCTTCTTCTTCTGTTCTTTTGGAACCATTAGGTTTTGTAATATCATCCTCTCTAATTTCATTTCAAGAACAATATTCTTTTTTTGAGAACAATATTAATAAGTAACAAATCAAAAAAAAAAAAACTAGTTTTACCTGAATCTCAGCTTCGTATTCGATCCGAACCTTGTCACTAACATCCCATAACTTATCAAGGAACAAGAACCGTCGCATCCCGAACTTCCTCGACCAATAGGAGAGGCTAACGAACGAGATTCCTGCGAATATCGAAAGAGAGAGCTGAACCACGGCGTCGTAAGGGCGTCGGTGGTGGAAATCGCAGTCGGAGCATACGAGGACGAAGTGTGAGATGATCGGAACACCGACGACGAGGAGGAAGAAAACGGACCAGGAGAGCAGAGCGGTGCCTCGATTGTTAGACTGGTCGAACCAAAGGACGGTGCTCAGGAAAGGGAAACGCGACGGAGGAAACTCAGGGTGGATTAGATGTTCCCTAGATCCTTGCTCCGATGATGGCTTCTCCATGAGAAGGGTAGTTTCGGGATTAAGAGTTTTAGGAGGATTCTTCGGTGAAGAACAAATGAAGAGGGAAATCGCGTTGATTTCTGGTTATGTAAAGAACCACCTGTAGTTCCTTGTTTAAATAGTAAAGTTTTCGGGAATTTATTTAATTTATGTATGGTTTAATTTTAAAACACACACGTATTGTTAACATTGGGGCCTATATGTTTTTTTTGGGATATTATTATGTGGTTTGCTGATTGATTAGTTGTTGGAAAGGGAATTTTATTTTCACTTCTGCTTAACAATTATTTTAAAAATTGTCGTAGGGAAGCAAGTGGAATGATTTACGTAATCAAATGAGGTAATGATTAATTTAGTACGTGTTTAGTATTTGGAGTTTTGACTCCATACGACTTTCAAACCCTACTGAATTTGTACAAACGAAAACAGAATTTTTATTCGGCCATAATCAAAAATTACCATAAACAACAAATGACACATTAGTTCCAGGCTTTTTTCTTGATAGTAATATTTTTAAAAAGGTTAAAAGCGTAACTGAATTCACGCGGTTAATTATCAACTCACTTCTATTCATACACGAGTAGTTAGGAAGGTTCGGTAGTTTCACGGGCCAGAAAATCAGTTTATAGTTATGATGTGTCCCGTTATTTAAAAAAAAAGGTTATGATGTGTCCCTGATTTCACATAAAGTTATTTTTAAGCCGAGAATATAAACCAGGTCGGATCATTTAACATTGTCGGATCCTTTTTGATCATTTGTCTAAGACTCTAGAGCAAAAAACAATCAGCCTCCCTTATAATATGTCCCTTAACTCAAAACTGGTTACACATGCTTGACATCCCAAAGCGATCTTACTTTACTGTTTGTAAATAGCACTGAAGTATACCAAGTTCTTCTTCACGTTGGTAATTTTATCTATTCATTGCTGTTCTTAAATAACGAACATCACTGAAATCACGAGAGTATTAAATCACAAAGAGTAGTATTGGTTTCTAGCCATACACATGTTCGAAATGTTTGGTTATTTTCACGAGCTAGAATATCAATCCATACCCTCGTTAATTAAATTCATTACAAGATGACGTGTCCCGTTCATTGGGCCTTAATTTATTTTAAGCCCATAAGTAAACCCGAGTCGGATAACTTGACTTAATCGGATCCTTTTTTGGTAAGAAAATTCACCGGCCATGAATTGTTGGACGCGTCGATGATGACGATGGGGATGAGAGAAGAACCCAGAATATCCGCCTACCATCCTCGTGAACCCATATTCCTTTTCGTCTATTAACCCCCAAATTCCCCAAAAAATCTTCATTTCGAAGAAAAAAAACCAAACCTTTACTTTTCTTTCCTGAGAAGTTTCTGCTCTGTTTTTTCGTTGGGTTCCTTGACGGAGATGGCGGCAGCTACGGTGGCGATTTCAGGCTTCTCCGCACGGCCTTTGGTTTCTCTTCGACGCTCCAGAGCCTCCGTTTCGTATGGTTCATCTCACCAGTTTCTTCGTCATCGTCTTATCTCCTCTCCTCGCCTACTTTTCAGGTTGGCCAAAAATGATTTAACTTTGTCTCTCTTCATTTTCTGTTTTGTAGTTTATTGACTTGTCTCTGTCTTTGCAAACATTTCAGGAACGTTCGTGGAGTTCAAGCTACGATTTTACAAGACGATGAAGAGAAAGTTGTGGTGGAGGAGTCTTTTAAATCCGAGACTTTTCCTGGTAAAGAACCACTTCTCGAGGAGGCAGATACGAATTCTTCATCTAGTGATTTTGAGGCTTGGGTCATCAAGCTTGAGCAAGGAGTCAATGTGTTTCTTACAGTTAAGGGGTCTTTAATAGAATCGTGTATGTTCAAATCATCTGTGCGTCTAATTGACTGCTGTCTCGTGTTTTGTTTTTTCGTCAGGACTCGGTGATTAAGATACTTGACACACTCTACCGTGACCGAACCTATCCAAGGTTCTTTGTTCTTGAAACCATTGCTAGAGTCCCTTATTTTGGTGAGTGCATAGTTTCAGTTTCTCGTTATTCTTGCAAGAGAAGTACATCACGTAGCATTAAGAGGTTTATTCATTAGGTTTGTATTCTTATATAAGAGACTATTCTTAAGACAGTAAGTAAGATTTTAGAAGTCACTTGAAACGTGTGAAGAAGACAAGATAAGGCATTTCCTTATTTTATTAGAAGCTTAATTCTCTCCAACCTCAAAGGAATGTGTAAAATGTGGAGAACCACATCTCAGTTCCTTTGTTGTTTATCAATAATTTATGAAGCTAAATGCCAAAAGGAGAACTGTTCATTGGGTAGAACATAATGTTAGTTTCTGTATGCACCATGCAGCTTTTATGTCAGTGCTACACATGTATGAGACCTTTGGTTGGTGGAGGAGAGCTGATTATTTAAAAGTCCATTTTGCTGAGAGCTGGAATGAGATGCACCACTTGCTCATTATGGAAGTAAGAAGAACTCACTAGCTTCCATTCTTCTCCTAGCTTCCATTCTCTTAACTAGCATAGTTAGTAGTAAAAAGTGTTGAAATGCATGTATTTTGTATCACAGGAATTGGGTGGAAACTCATGGTGGTTTGATCGTTTTCTGGCCCAGCACATAGCAACCTTTTATTACTTCATGACAGTGTTTTTGTATATCGTAAGCCCAAGAATGGCATGTAAGTTTACTTTTTTCGCTATAATCTACAAAACTGCTTATGGTTGACATGACTTCATCATCCTGTGTGTTACCGATGCAGATCATTTTTCAGAATGTGTGGAGAGTCATGCGTTTGAGACTTATGATAAATTTCTCAAGTCCAATGGAGGTCGGTTTTATTAACATGTTCAAATACTCATCTTTCTCCTACACTTCCTGTCTCTTTTGCATTAGTGAGTTAGTTTTTATGTGCTTAATGAGTTTAACGATCTTAACATTATGTATTGTTGTTCATCAGAGGAGTTGAAGAAATCGCCTGCACCTGAAATCGCCGTGAAATACTATACAGGAAGCGACATGTACTTATTTGGTAACGATTAACCTTTTCTTCTCGAGTTCCTTTTGACTAGTAGTAGGAGTCTCTTAAAGTGTTTTTTTTGTCTGCAGATGAGTTCCAAACATCTAGAGCTCCAAATACTAGAAGGCCAGTAATAGGTAAGGATTTAACTTTCTGATGTTTGTGAGTCTGCATATTCAATAAAGGAGGGCAGCGTTGTTTTATATATGTGCAATATTGTTTTGTGACTTACGTTGGTCTAAGATTGTGTTGTGTGATAATGTTGGTGGGCAGAGAATTTATACGACGTGTTTGTGAACATAAGAGACGACGAAGCAGAACACTGCAAGACGATGAGAGCTTGTCAGACACTGGGAAGTCTCCGTTCTCCACACTCGGTTTTAGAAGAGGAAGAATCAGGGTGTGTTGTTGTTCCTGAGGAGGCTCATTGCGAAGGTATTGTAGACTGCATCAAGAAAAGCATCACCAACTAAACAAATCACGTAAAAATCTAAGATTACTTTGTTATAGAATAGTTGCTCAAAAGCAAAAAGAAAGTTGTTATAGATAAATCCAATATACTTAGGAATAAAGAGAAAGTGTGTGTGTATGTGGAAGAACATTTTTAAATACTCAAATGATAAACCTTACTTTATTCAACTAATTAATTAATGCTTTATTAAAAATCAGTTTTAGTCCTTACTTCATCGGTTTACTAAGCACATCAAATTATAAACAAAGTGTTTTTTCTTTGTTTATAATTTCTTGTAACAATCTAGAATCACATTGTACAATGTGATATACTTTGTGAAGATGATCGTAATTGCTCAAGTACAAAATAATTGAACGTAACATTTAGAGTTAGAATCTCTCGTCTCGTCTCGTCTCGTCTCGTCCCTTTCTTGGTTTCTTGGGGAAAGCGTGGCGCAAATCCGACGTCGTATATCGGGACAAACAACTCACGTGGTAAAAAGCCTTGATTCTTGCGTCTTTCTTTAATTTTACTCTTCCTTCTTTTTCTTTTTATCTTTTCTTTTAGTTTTCAAATTATTTTTCCGCCCGGTGAATAACTATTTTTCCCGCCATAAATCATCCTTGTAGTATATAATAAGATCTAAAACAATCCGTCTGTTTCACTAATGATTCTATAACTGAAAGAGTCATAATGAGTGACTTCGATCTCGGAACGAGTCAGAGGATGACGACCGAGACACACCGCACCACCACGTTTCTTGATCTGCTCCGACGCCAGATGAGCGGCGTCGATCAAACCAGAAGGAAGCGGACACTCAAAGAACGGTTGAGATTCAAATGCATCGCATGCTGTGGGCCCCCCTGGAGCGGTCTCCGTCTCACTAACAACAACACTTCCACAAGAACTCTCCACAGTCCAACCTCAATCCAAGACGAAGCCGAAGAGCAAAGCGAATCTCAATCGGGCGCTGGATCGGGTTCGGGTATGAATCTCGCGGCGGCGTTAGAGGCGGAGAGATATAACGGGGGAGATTCGACGGAATCGGCGGTTGATATGACGCCGAGGAGAGTGTCGTTGATGAGATTGCTTGATGAGACGGCGGAGATAGTGGACGATGACGGGAGAAGAGAGACGGAGGTGTTAACGGCGTTAACGGGGAGTGATTCGGTGTGCTGCGTGTGTATGGGAAGGAAGAAAGGCGCTGCGTTTATACCCTGTGGACACACTTTTTGCAGAGTATGCTCCAGAGAGCTCTGGCTTAACCGTGGCTCGTGTCCTCTTTGCAACCGTCCGATCATCGAGATTCTAGACATATTTTGAAAACAATCGGATGGCTGACATTTCTCAATCAATATTTTACAGTTTTACTACGGTTTTCTACTTTGTTTTGTTTGTTGTGGAAAAAGATGTAAATGGTCAAAAATACGATGAGATTCTGTTCACAAGGCCCATTAAGTCAATTATAAACCCAATTAACCAAAAAGTTTGGACGTTTCTTCTCTATCGTGGTTTCAAAACGCAAGAAAAATGTTGTCAAGATATTTATCGCATGGTAGCAGATCTCGACCGTTAAAGGACAAAAGTCGTTGGGCAAACTGAGCGATAATCAGAAAACAGCCAGACAATAGTACTCTGCCGAAGTTTCCAGCGTCATGTCATTTGCATGGCGCTTAATTTTCTCGTCGAGAACTAGAGATAATAAAGAGCAACTTTCCTTAACAATAATTTCTGTCTTCCCCTACATATATATATATATTTTTATTGTTTTTTTGCAGAGAAACTCTTTTCATTTATTAGTACTTTCCATGTGCATACAGGAATACGAAAAATGTTTATTTTAAAATCTCACAAAGTAGACAAGCATTTAAAGGACAGTATTGTGACACACGTCACCCTATTAATATAAAGACAACATGTTTAATGAGCTCTTTGACTTTCAGTTTGAAGATCTAATTATAGGATTAAATCACATAACGATGATGATTCGTTCTCTGTGTGTGAAATTGAACTCCTAGTTTCAGAATCCCTTACTAAATCCTTTATGCTTTTTGAAAATTAATGCTAAATTGGATTTCTAGCCAAAATGCCCCAAACGATTATCGCCTCACACCATCAGATGACACGATGCTTTTTTTTTTGTCAACCAGACCACACGATGCTTAAGATGTCGATGATCGTCCACTGATCTTACCAATTTATGTGGCTAACATTTATTACCCCTCGTGATTTTTTTTTGGTTTGAGATTTACGTCACTTGCCAAGTCAGCAGTAATGTCTATAAATTACTAGTACTCACTACGTATCTTTTTCTTGTTCACTAGCTTCGAAGTTTCTTTTCGAATAATAAAAAAAAAAACAACAATGGCGACGGTTCAGTTCTTCAACAAATTCCCCTGCAAAACCCGAATCCAAACCTCAACAAACTCAAAATCCATCCCCAAACCACCGTCGATGACCACCCTCACTCGCCGTCCCTTGTTTCCCCCCGGAGAATCCACACTCCCTCGTGCCGATTTCAGAGTCAGAGTCATCGATCCGGAGGAGACGAGTGATGAGTTAGGATCTGCTCTATTGCTTGCGGAGGAAGCAATCGAATCCGTGGAAGAGACGGAATCTCTCAAGAGATCTCTGGTCGATTCCTTGTACGGCACAGACCGAGGTTTGAGCGCATCGAGCGAGACTCGAGCTGAGATCGGAGATCTAATCACACAGCTCGAGTCCAAGAACCCTACCCCAGCTCCCACCGAAGCTCTCTTTCTCCTCAACGGCAAATGGATCCTCTCGTAAGTTTTTTTTTTCCGACACAAACTCTATCCCTTTGTATGTTTCGTTATAACTTTTATTTATTATTATCAGGTACACATCGTTCATTGGTTTGTTCCCGTTACTCTCACGAGGGATCGTGCCGTTAGTTAAAGTCGATGAGATCTCACAGACTATTGATTCAGACAACTTCACGGTCGAGAACTCTGTTCTGTTCGCTGGTCCTTTAGCTACGACCTCGATAAGCACCAACGCTAAATTCGAGATCCGAAGTCCTAAACGTGTCCAGATTAAGTTCGAGGAAGGTGTGATCGGGACTCCTCAGCTAACGGATTCGATTGAGATCCCGGAGTATGTTGAGTTTCTTGGTCAGAAGATTGATCTTGCTCCGGTCAGAGGGTTGCTTACTTCGGTACAAGACACGGCTTCTTCTGTGGCTAGAACCATATCGAGTCAGCCACCGTTGAAGTTCTCTTTGCCTGGGGATAATGCTCAGTCGTGGCTGCTTACGACTTATTTGGATAAGGATATTCGGATCTCTAGAGGAGATGGTGGAAGTGTGTTTGTGCTTATTAAAGAAGGAAGCCCTCTCTTGAATCCTTGAATTAAGTGTCTCTATCGTTTATGCTTAAGTGCAAACTAAGTGTTGTCATATGTGTTACTTGTTAATCGTTTGTATTAATTTGGATGGTATAGAAGTTAATAAATAAAGTCATGTTGTTACTGCTACAAAAATACAAATACAAAATGATATGCATAAACGTATTCCGTAGAATATGTTACAATAACGGCAATACTGCACAACAAGTCAACTATGATCTGCAAAACGTTTAATGAACAAACTTATAATACTGCGAGGAAAATATAGAGTCGTGAACACTACTAGAACCTTAACACCACTCTTCTATGTCTTCATAAGACTGACCTCCACTTTCTCTTTTACCTGAAAAGATAATTATTTGAATTATGTTACTACTGTACTTGAAGTTTATAGTTTAGAAATGTAGAAAATATTAAAGTTAGGTAGTGCATTTTAAATGAGAAAAAAAAACTTACATCACTTACTTAAGATGATGATGTCCACAAGATATGCATTGTATTCAAGTCGCTCAAACTTGTCGACTTGAGTGATGCTTTATATAGCTCTCTGAGTTTCCGACAGTCTCCGGATCTTCCAGAGCTCTGAGATTTGTTTCCTCCTTCCGCCGCAGGTAAAGATAAGGTCAGAAGTCGCTTTAGAACCACCTGCGTTCGGACCCAGAATTTTGAGTAAAGCTCCGGGTCCTCGGTTCTTAGTGATTCCGCATATGTTTTGGAAATGTGACGGGCTTCGAGTAAGCGAGACAAAGCTGCTTCAAGCATCTGAAACCAAAAACAGAGGAGTTTCATAAAATCATAAGGTACAACACATAGTCATTCTTCATTTGAAACAAGCGAAGAGCACTTACAGAGTTTGGTTGCCAGAAGTTTGAAAGGATGAAGGAGAGAGACGATCTCTCCATAAGGATTGTAAGGAACATGGAGGGATGACTCTCGGGGCCATAAAAGTCCATTGACTTCTGCCAATTCCTATCTGCCAACAAAGCGTACTGCTTTGTCTTCTGGATTTCTTGACCTTGTGTTTCCAGAAACTTTAAACAGCAATCTTTGTGATACCGCGCTAACTGAAGGTAAGCAAATGCGGCTTCTTGTTTGCGTTGCTCCCCAACAGATTCATATAAAGCCAATGCCTCTCTTATGGCATCACTTGCTGATACTTGATGTTTCCTCAAATCCCTGTTCGACAAAGAATCATGACTAGTTTCCAAGATACCGTCAGCTGTGTCTTCTTTTGCTAAAAGCATTCCAAATCTGAGATAGGTGTGTGCAAGCTGCGTGTAGACTTCAACTTTCAGATCATCAGGAACTGAACTAGCCTCGTCAGTGGCAGCACTGAGTTCTGTCTTTGCTGCAATGTAGTACCTGAGTGACTTTCTGTATTCTAGTTTTGCCGTCTCGAGGGCCTGTTCGTAAGCATTTTTGAAAGCAGAATGCCGTTTAAGAGCTTCCATCTTTGGGACCATTTCTTCAGCTAAAGCTCGTCTCCCGTGACCCAAGTTGCAGTTGATTAGTACAACATTAGTATGATCGCAAACTTCCTTGAATGCCACTATAGCATTAGCGAACGCGTCTTCAGCTTTGTTGAGCTCTTTGCTCCCGAGACGGTTCCGACCAAGTTCATTAAACACCCATCCCTTCTTTCTATTAAGTGACTGAAACTCGTTACAGCCACTTGGAAGCTCCTGTAACTGTAATGCTTTTCGTGTTTCCTCATAACAATGTAAAGCAGCCAAGAGATTGCTTTCAGCATTATCAGTCTTAGAACCCTTGAGATACTTGAATATTCCCCCCTTTTTTACTCTTGGAGTTTCCTTAGAGTTGGATTCTTTTTGCTGATTCAGAGGGACAGCTTTTGTTGTTCCCACTGGCATATCTTCTTCTTCTTTAATGCTTTTGTTCTCAACCGTGACATTATCATGTTCATCTTCATCATTTCGTGAAAGCCTGCTAGCGACATTTTTGGACTTCAGTTTTCTATTCTGCTTTCTATTATGAGGCACACTGCTGCTACTACTACTTGCGCTACTTCCACTGTTTGCTCTGTCACTCTTACAGCTGCAATTTACTAATGAACACGAGGCACAATTTTGACTGTACTCAGTTAACTTCTTCTTGAGCCTCTGTACCTCCTTTACTATTTCAGATGGCATTCTTAACTGATTGGTAGATGCCCCTTTTGCTATCTTAGAGAGCTCTTGACCTTTAACAATGTGAAACTGAACATAGATATCACCAACCAACATCCACACTTTTGCCCAAAAGAGCTGCGCTGAAGAAAGTTCCACTTCTAGACCTTCAACTTGGGCTGTTGCATGGGTTTTTGACACAGACTGGTTCATAGAGGACATAAACATTGTCTCCTGATAATTTGGTGGCATTGATCCATAAAGGGAGCAAGCTAATTCCACAGTCTTCAAAGCCTGATGCAACTGCCCATCTTCTTTGTAAGCTTCCCCTAGAGACAGATAAGATTCACCAAGAAGCAGAACGAGGTTCCATAGTTTTCTGTCAAGTTTAGATGTTGGAAGCCACTTACGTATATCACAGACCTCAATACAATCAGGATCACCACATGCACATTTTGAAAAATCAGCAGGAGGCAATATATCATGAAATAAACCCTCATGATCTGAAGACTGTAGTTGCCGTGTCCACCTAAGAGACTTTATGGCTTGAGAAACATGGTGAACTGCTGCTAGCTTTGATGAAATCAGATGAGTTGTAGTCTCAAGAAGAGGCGCAGTAGCATGGCATACATGACCAAGATCGAGATTAGTTTCGGAAGTGGAGTTGACAATAGAGCTTTCAGCATTGTGGGAATCTTGACTGTCGGAACTATCAGAACTTAATTGTCCCTTGCAGGGTAACACGTCTGCCTCCAACTTCTGTCTAACAGATACTAAAGACGATATAGAAGAACCCAAGTATTCTTCAGTTAATTTGTCTTCCGAGAAAATTACTCCCTCACTTCCATGTTCAGCAGTACTCGGATCAAGTGACTCCTCTTCTAGGTCAGTTATTTCGACTTCACGTTGCACATTGTTAGACTCAAAAGTCAAATCAACTTCCTCTTCATGATTAAGGATGAGCCTTGCAAACTGCTCGTGTGCATATGCCCGAACAACCTATCCAGCATGGTATCACTAATGAGTACCCATTGAAGATATAAATAGAGAATAGCTTGAGTAAATTTTTAAAAACAAGCTTAAAGACCAAATACCATATGATCAGGCTCGTCCAAGATATTCAAACATTTTCTGAGGAACCTTGCACACTTGGTCCTATCAATCGGCACCTGCAAAAGATGCAGTGTTAAGAAAGCGAAAGTCGAGCTGTTCATGTTTCACACAAATGAATGCATTGCCTTCTTACCACAGACAAAGAAAGTCTATGACCGACACGGTAAAGAAGATTGCCTAAAGAAAACAGTGAGTCACTTCGCCCACTATGAATCATAGATGGTAATGTGCTTGCGCTGTCGTCATTCTCGTCTGAAGAATGGCTCTTTGAAATAAGAGAAAGATCAAACAGCTGAATCACATCTTCACCAGCGCTTTTGTAAAGCTGAAAAGAAAATACCAATCAACCGTAGTAAGTAATGGCCTCAACAAGACATAATTCCAGTTAAAGATATAACAATAACTTGGCAGAAAGTTACAAATTTATAATATTACCCAGTAAGCTCCAGGATCCTCTTTGCAATTTGATTGAAGAAACCTTAAAACAGCAAGGCCATTCTGCTGAACAACATGAGGATGAAAGGCAGGTGTACCATCTTCAGAGATTCCTTTTAATAGAAATATATCGTTTGTTTTTAAAAGCTCGGACCCTTGGACGACACCATTTTCATGATAGCAAACTGCCAATTCGGGCACACTGGCCATAACATTATCTAGCCACGCTTCAAGCCAGGTTAAAGGTGTAATCTGTGTGAAAAAAAAAAAGAATAGTTAACAGACTACGAAGACTAAAAAATTAAAAACAATACAACTCTCAAGGGTATAGCAGTAACCTTTTCGCTGACATCCAACAAGTGCAAGCTTACAGCCAAATATTTTTCATTGCTGAAGAGTAGAAGATCACTACCCAAAAGCATGCGGAAATTGTGGAATTGCCAAAACAGAACTCTTAAAAACTCATTGCTCCCACCTCTTGTGTGCTTCTCAGAGTCTCTGGAAGGCTTGATCTTTTGATTCTTCTCACTGATTTGAGTTTTTTTAACCATCCGCTCATGTGCATTGCTCTTTTTGCTCTTCTTCTTCTTCTTTTCACAAATAAAACCCTCTTGTTTCAGCTGTTTACTATTCCCTGCAGAGTTGTCAAGTCTGTCGTCTGGATCACTATGGAGGGAATTCTCTCCAGCGGGAAGAGCAGAAGAACTTGACTGTCCTTCTGTATGCGGACGATGCTCGGGAGGGCAATCACATGCCTCCATTCTCACAGAATGCATAGCAAAGTTGAGAAACAACGACTCATCCACATTCTTTGTACATTTGGGTTGATTATTATGCCTTCTAATCAGTTTCTCCCCTTCTTCAACATCAGGTCTAACATTTAAAGACATTTTAATAAGAACTTGCAATGTTTCAAAGGGCGGAATGAAGTAAGAGAAAGAAAGACACACACCCTGGGTTCAAAACAAGAGTCTGTCCAACACGCTGAACAGCAATGGAGACACGAGCTTTGGAATAAGGTATCTTAAAGATCTGCTTAAGGATGTCAACGGGCGCAATGACATCAATCTCATCCCCGTAGTCCACTAAACCAGAGACAGCAAGAGCTTCACATTTCTTGCTAAGGTTAGAAGTAATAACATTAGCCTCCTTAGATACATCTGTTAAGCAAAAACAACACACAAAGCAATATTCATTTAAAGTGTCCATCTAATCATAAAACAAACAAACAAACCTTGGGTGATTCTGACGGCTGCGAGGGGTAAATCAGTAAGCAGAGGAGGCCGATTAAGATCAGTCTTTGAAGGAACCATCTGGTACCTAGGAGCAATCACTCTGCAACAAAAACAAACAAATCAAAGCAATAAGAAGTGGAAGCAGAAGTAAGTGTTCGACGGAAAAAATAGTAAACGTACGTTTCGTGAGAGGGCAAGAGAGGCGAAGAGAAAGTAGGGAAGGAGTTATCGGCGAGAACAGGGATGGAGCCGCAGAGGAAACCGATCGGGGGTTTCGGAGGGACGATCTCCATGGTTCCCACGCACGGCAAGTCTCTCGAACTCTCGATTGTGCTAGGGAGATAAGGTAACTGCATCGGCGGAGATTTTGGAGTATCCATGGTGGTTTCGTGGGGTTTTTTGAGTTTCTTCGTCGTCAAAAATTGATCTCGCCGGCGTTACTTCAAGAGTTGTCTAGAAGAAACTTCACTAAGCCCAATACCGTTAAGTGCTCAAAGCCCATTTCTTTTCTTTTTTTTCGACTAATAAGAAAGTTGTTACATTGGTGAGAAGTAACTTGTGCAATGCGATTAGGTGGAGCCTCCTTTGCCAACAAATCAAGAATCACTGTTGATATGTTGTAGTGGAACTCTTGATTATTCATCATTTGGACGAGGTTTGCTGTAATCATCTTCAAAATAACAGAAGCGAACCCTCTGAAGAATACTAACTTTACAACTGATAATAGTGCCATGGCTTCAGCTTCCAAGGAAGATTGTGCTGATCCCAAGAATGAGCTTCCCCAAACAGTAGAATCCCGATTTGAATTTTCTTACCATCCATCCAGAAGTAAACGGTAACAAGAGAAAAAAACTGCATCATAGTTACATTTGAGTTCATACCAATTTGGACATTTCCAAATAGTAGAGCTAGTTGATGGTTCTCTTCTTCCACTGTGACGTGAAGCCGTCTGTTGTGTCTTTAACCATTCCAAAACATCACCATGAGCCAATTGGAAATCTCTCTAAAGTTAAAGAACAAACTGTTTCTAGACTTCCAAAATTCCCCTAGAATCCAAAATGAAGTAAGTTGATGTTCTTCCGTTTGACTGTTGGGTATTGAGAAGAAGGGAAATGTTGTCTTCGAAATTTATCTGTTGGTTTGTGTAAAAAGTGATGTTAAATCAGAAAGGGAAACTACTACTATTGTCAAAACAAGTGAGCTTCATAAATTGTCGATTTAAGAAAAACTTCCTAGCCAATTAAAGTTTTATTAAATTCTAACCTTGAATAATCATGAATTGTGGGTGTTTAAGGCTAGATATTAATTAAACATTCAATACAAGTTTTTCTTTTTTTTTTGAGCAACTTCAAAATAAGTAAAAGAAAACAAAACAACCATTGCAAAGAGAAAAAAGTCACTAATCCTTCCCTAGCAAAACAAAAATAAATTTAAAATATCCGACAACCGTGCACGTGTTCTTTCTTATGTCCGAACCGAACCGGGTTCTCGCCACCACATAAAAAATGAAAGGCCTTCAATTTCAATAAATATCCGCGGAACGAAGCAATCTCAAACAAACCCTAAATCAAAGATGATGATCAGGCAAGCTGCGAAGAAGGCTCTAGGGCTCACGTCACGCCAATCAACTCCTTTCTCCGTCGGTATCTTCCGATCCTACCACGAGAACGTCATCGACCACTACGACAATCCCCGCAACGTCGGATCTTTCGATAAGAACGATCCCACTGTCGGTACAGGTCTCGTGGGGGCTCCTGCTTGCGGCGACGTCATGAAGCTGCAGATCAAGGTCGATGAGAAGACCGGTCAGATCGTCGATGCTCGCTTCAAGACCTTTGGTTGTGGTTCGGCCATAGCCTCGTCGTCTGTGGGTATGTTTTATGTTCTGTTGATGATTGAATTAGTGAAATGAGAGGCTCAATTAGAGTTTTTGATTGATTAATTAGGGTTTCGAATTCGGATTTTTGATTGAAATTTACGGCTTTGTGATTTATGTTTGACTGATTTTGATGGTTTGCAGCTACTGAATGGGTCAAAGGCAAAGCTATGGAGGAAGTCCTTACCATCAAGAACACGTAAGTACTGTCTTGTCTTCTTATTAGTTTTTTCAAGGCAATTGGCATATTATGTTTTTAGGTGTTGCATCACTTGAACTTGTGTTGTGTATAATTGCTTGACCCTTTGGTTGTTGACATACCATTTAGTTATATGTATTGGTTACATGGTTTTCCAGCATATGCCAACGCAAACCCCTCTTTACTTCTTTATCTGAGAATTGATTAAATGTTGTGATTTATGTCATGGAGTTTCTCAATATCTGAAATCCTGAATTAAATGTGTGCTTTTTTTTTTAAATCTGTGAAGCGAAATCGCAAAGCATCTTTCTCTCCCACCAGTGAAGCTCCATTGCAGTATGTTGGCTGAGGACGCTATCAAGGCAGCTGTGAAAGACTACAAGGAGAAGCGTGTGAAGACAAATGGTGCTTGAGAAACCGCAAAGGCTTGATTCCTTCTGTTACTGTTGATACCATTATGTGTATATGATGGTGAAAACAGGGAGGTGTGTGTGTGTGGAAGAGAACCTATATGGTATGTTCTCTTAAGGTTCAAGTCTAAGAACTACGTTTGAAATAAACTCTGTTTGACAAAAACATCTAAGAAGAATGATTTTCTTTCCTTTCCAGTAGTTGTTGATATTTGATGTTATGTAATGGTTTTTTCTTTGATATTAAGCAGTCTCAAACGATTTGATTTTCACATGAAAAGGGAAAATAATGGTAGATTACATAAACTTTTACTAAAACGCAAAGTGAACTAAATCAACAAATTCCATGTTTGAGGATGGAGAGAGAGATCATGATGATCACATTCACATGGTCTCTGCAGAAGCTTTGTCACATGTACCCTTAAAGCGTTCTTCTTTGCAGCCATAGTAACAGTAAGTTACTAAACTTTAAACGATGTGAGCGACGTGAAAGTGCTCGTAGTCGTTCCATTCACTTGACTACTCCTATATATTAGCTAGAGACATAAAACATTAAGAACCGGTTCTTAAATAAGGACGTTAAGAACCGGTTCTTAACGTTTTTAGTTAAAAATTAAGAAATAATTTCTTAGTTTCCACTAAGAACTTTATCTTAAGAATCCGGGGTTAATCATGGTCTTAAGGTTCAAATCGAAGAAGTACTTTTGAATCAACTCTGTTGACAAAGAAACAAACATCTAAGAAGAATGATTTGCTTTTGCCTTGTAGTCTTTGCTGTTTGATGTTTTGTAATGGTTGGGGAAATAATCTCTATTAAAGACAAGTCTACGATGGTTTTCTTCTATCTAGTTTGATTTCGTTCCAAGTCTTTTCTATTGTTTTGCATTCTACGGAGTACATGATTTCCCAAGTTTTTTTTTTTTTACATAATAGATAACATAACGTTTATATCATAGAGTATTGATGTTAAGCAAATCTCCACACATGAAGAAGGGAAAATAATGAGAGATAACATAAACTTTTATTAAAAAGCAAAGGGAACTAAACATCGGAGGGAAAGAGAGATGATGATGACGATGATCACATTCACATGGTCCTCTCCTCAGCTTGGTCACATACATAGCTACAGAAACACATAGTGTAACTGATTGGCGGCGAGCCTGGATTTACCTTAGGTGGCCGGCATTCGCTCCTCACCATCATGTCACCCTTGCTTTCTAAGCAAAGTTTCGTGCAGGTGCTGCTTTCAAAACAAGAGTTTAGGATCACAGTGCACACCCCACATTTCGCTTCTGTAAACACACATATAAACCACACAAAGTCTTTTTAGATATGTACAGCCAATTTCAAATACTTGATCAACTGAAAATCTGAATATATTTATATATATATATATTGATCATATGAACCTGTGGGAGAATGAAGGAGGAAGGATAGAAGAAGGAAGGCAACAAAAAATGTGGTAAACCTCGAGCTATCCATATCTGTATTTTATCTTCTTGATATCTAATTTGGTGTTTGCTCTCGTTTTAGATTAGTGTATTTAAAGGTAGAGGGATGGAAGAGGAGGCTGAGATTGACACGTTCGTATAAATTCATTTAACATTAAATTACTCTCTGAACAAGGTGATGGTAAGCATGCTTGTATTATTTTAAAACAAAAGTTAAACAATGGCTAATTATTTTTCTTTGCCAGCCAATGATTCGTTTCATATAGTTAAACAATAATGAAAACGTTTCTAATATTATATTATATGTAGTAGTATTGTAGTAACTATTGCATATATATGGTCAAACAAAAATGAAAATGGTACTCGCACATTATTTTCAGAACGCTTAATTTTAGATAGTTTATTTAACGTAGAGGGAGGAATGAGGTTGAGATTGACACGTACGTACAACCTTATTCGACATTCGATTACTCTTTTTATTTTAACCAGATTTTTGGATTAAGTAAAGTGGACGATTACAGAAATAAGGAAAAACATAAGAACAACTCTTAAACCTGAAACAATGAAACTATAATTTTAAAGAACGAAATGATACTGAAGCAAATGCCAACCCAAAGAATATTGCAACTCGTAATGGATTTGAGATATGATCTAAAGTCATAGGTGGTGCTAATAGTTTTTTTTTTTTTTTTTTTTTTTTAATGATTGTTATGTAATCTATTGGAAATTGGTTATGTCCGTAAATCCTTAGAGCATCATTATCCCTAGTTTTTTAAGACATTTTTTTTAGCGAAATATAAGAAATTATTTCTTAAAGTAGTTACAAGTTAAGAAACAATTTCTTATATTTATCTAAGAAATCCAACTTAAGAAACTATGGATAATGATGCTCTAATGATATAAAAGGATCAGAGAATATGATTAAAGTATGAAGAAAGTGATATTTCAGCTGTATCAACTTTGACAAGCTTTCTTTGATTCTTGAGAGAGATCTTGATCACTCGTTCTAGTAGATTTGCTAGACTGAATTTGGTTCCATTGAATAGTTCTCAATATCGGAGATGAACACGTACTCCATAAGCAAAACTATGTAAATCATTTTTTTTTTCTCGTATTACCTCTTGCATTCGTGTGTGGTTGAAAGTCTGATGGCAACGAAGACAGACAATTCGAGCTGATCAGGTGAAGCTGTTCGGTAATAACGGTGACTTCTCTTTATGGACCATCCGAATGATGGTTCACTAGTCAGGTTGGCGTACATAGATTTAAGGAGGTCATTTCTCAGCAAAAACAACCCAGCCTTTTTTTTTCATCATCATTATTATATGAAACTTGATCACCGGAAAACAAAGAGAAATACACAAATCACGGTACAGCGAAATAGAATACAAAACACAAATTTCAAATTGTAACACCTTCACAACACAGAACACACAAAGTAACGTCGATGTTTTGAAATCTGATCATGCTTTCTGGTTTAAATACCGAATCTAAAGCAGCACATACAAGTCCCCGGATTAGTGATGCATATGCCGTTATTAAAATTTCTTCCCTGAGCCGACAAACATCTCTCCTTGCATGCTACACCGGAAGGATCCGCAGATGTACAGAGACCGTATGGAAATGCACACGCATTCATGGGCGGAAACATATTCGGTGTCCTACGCGTAAACTGTGCAACTGCTCCCGAATAAAAACAAATTATTTATACAATCAATAATAGGTTTTTTCTAAACCATAAAAAGAGTTTTAGTCTTTATACTTGTAAAGCTTGCTTAAATTATGAACGAATTTATAAGAGTATTACGTTGTGCGTAAACAATTACAACATATGTGAGTTAATTCAGCATGTTTACTTCGATCTGATCAATGTGGTAATAACTAGTTAATTGGAATATTAACATATTTATATGTACTAACCTGTAGAGAATTGCATGATCGAGAGACAAACAAAAACTGCAGCGACAACAGCTGTGCTCAATCGTAAGCTCCTCATTGCTCTTCTTTCTTTGATTGTGATTTGTTTAGCCAAAAGGAGGTTTTAATTTATAGGCGGTGTAGAGGGCAGAAGAAGCTCAAAATTTCAAAAGTGATCACTACCTAACAGAGTATTATAATACGTAACCTGACTGCCTCGACATAACACTTTAATTTTTATTTGCCTAATCCGGAAAATTGTTTTGCACGAACTGACGTTCGTTAAGGTTCCTCACCTGTCTTTTCCTTTTTCTTTGGTTACGTTGCTAACCTAAATCTTGAATAATAATCGCAACCGGTAAGTATTGATTATGCGATGTCTGATCGATCTCTAATCTGAACGTAAAAAAAAAAAAAAAATTAAGTATTATTCAAGATTAAAATATCTCTTTAATATATAGAAAGAGAGGTTATGAATGCAACTAAAGATAACTCAAAAGAAGTACTGTATTAAGTTTTTTTAGGCAGGACGGGCTCTGAGAATTATAGGGGTTAAGGTGATTTCTTAACGATTTCACCTAAACTTTTTTTTTATGGATTTGAGAATCTAATTTTTTTTTTGAGGAACCTGTCTACATGTAATTTTTTTTAAACAAATATTAGGGGCCAAAAGCAATGTTTCATCTGGATTTACCTAACGTCGGCCATGTTTCTAGGTTTCCACAAGTCTTTAACAATCAACCCATTCAAGGATTAATTTGATTATTTGAGATCAATTCCATTGAGAAGTCACAGAGTCCAGATTTAAGAATCACGAGGTGGACATAATGTAGACAGGAAAAAATTATGTAAGTCAAACAAAAATGATGAAATGTTATATTATATTGAAATACTAATAATGACAAAATAAAATTTTCAGAAACATGAATAATAAAATATATGCAACGCTACCAACACTCATGCAAATTATTGTTAAACCACCATTAATTCCATTTTCTAAGAGGGTTCTTAAAAAGCGGGTTCCACCATTTTCATAAAAATCACATTTTTTCCTTTTTCTACGATAGTCAATTCTTTTAAAGTTCTTATATTGTTTACGGATTTCATTGACACGTAATAATGGTACACAATTGATTTGTTTTTAATTTTTTTTTTAAATCAGATAAAAAAATAAAAACTCATAAAATTAATCATGCTCTTAAGGTATATGCTAAATATTATTTTAATCATCACATTTTACGTTTCCCAAAAAAAAATCATCATACTGTACAACTTGCATTTACGTTGTCCAAGTTATATCAAAATGAATCATGAGCTGATTTAACGCAGTTTCTTTTTGACTGACTGTTTTAACGGAGTTGAATTTCCATAAGCTTGATGAGTTATTTTTAGTTTTGTTTTCCCAACATGCAACTATTGGAAACAAAATTAAGTAGTTAAATATCTCAATAAACGTCTTTCTACAATTAATAGTTTTAAGAGTTGTTTCGTTTCATTATAAATGATAATTTATTATTTTTAAAAAATTGTTAATATAACTCAATAAGTGTATATTCTATATTATGTGTGTTTTTCATATGTAATAGAGTATCTTTTTGTAATGATGTGTTTATTCATTATATTTTTAAAATTTATTATTTTAAAGTACCTATTTCATTCTCAAATCTAAAATTTATTACTTTTCTATCGAAATTTAAAAATTTATGAATAGTCCATATCGATAAGTTTCTCATTGTAAATATTTTCCAAATTTATTAAATGGTAAGAAAAAAAATTATGTGCAATTACCTAATTACAAATTCTTAGAAAATATTTAAATGAAACGTTGTCAAATTCTTAGTGATATGAGCCATTATAACTATTTATAATATAAATTGTCGAAAAAACTATTTATAATATGAATTCAAACAAATGCTAAATGATGTATCTTTTCATCTTAATATTTTATTAGTTTTTTTTAGAGAAAAATATCTAAAGATGAATCTTTTCACAAAGATGTATCTTTCCATTGTAAAACACACATATTTAATAATAAGATGTTTCAATGATTCATTGAAACATTATAACCATTGTTGACTACAAATTTTGGCATTACAATCTTTGGTGATAATCATTGTTCATGTTGATGATTATTATACATATTGTTAATGAGTTATTGCATTTTTTGGTGTTAACCATTGTAACGTTTGATTGTTAATCGAAATTGAAAATTTTATTGAGAAAAGTGAATCCATAGATAAAAATGATTTTTATTACATAGTATCTCATAAGATAAGTGGAGTTGGAGCATTAAATACAATCTTTACAATATATCTTATATATTAAAACAGAAGTCATAACTTGACTTCATGTGTGATTTTTTTAAAAATAGACTATTATTAGAAAATTATGTTACATTAACTCTCTAATAATCTTATCATTATTATATCTTATATCATATCTATAAGACTATAATAATAAAGATATGCTTAACAATTTGATTTTGGTAAATTACCCCACACCTTGCAACTTAGTCACGCAAAATATGTCAATAGATATAAGTTTATGAATCTTCTATTAAGAAAATATGTCAATAATAATTAAATGCATCCACAATATATTAACAAAAATCACATATTCGTAATATGGAATATTTATATACCCTAACAAAATTTACACGCTATATATACTAGATAAATTTATTTCGATGTAAATTTTTAAAATTATATTGTTTTAAAAAAAAAATTTGAAATCTTATTTTTAATAAAATTCTTTATAATATTAATTTATGAAGGTATAAGTTTAGTTTTTAGCAAAAATTTCTTCGAAACTTATATTATATTTGCAAATTAAAGTATATTAATATTTAATCAAGCTCTATTTATATTACTTTGTCTAAAAATGAAATAATAATCTAACAAGCAATAAAATATAGAAGAAGAAACAAACACATGTTTGAAAAACATGTATAATATAGAAAATTTGAAACAATCTATTTGATTAAAACACGTATTATATAATGTTTTATGTTTGAAAAAAATTTACTAAACATACCGTAAATATGTGATTACTATAATATATACCAATTTACAAGTGAAAACAAAATATTTATCTAACTAACTCTAAACGAAAATAAACACCCGCGCAGTTACGCGGGTCAAAATCTAGTTTTTATTATATTTCAAGTAATTGATTCAATAAACATTCACCTTCAAAATCGTAAGACTGTTGTTGACTTTAAAAGTTCATGATGTATTTTACAATGAGACGGGACAAACAATTTAAAATTTGTTAAGAAATGAAGATGGTGGTTGGGACATATCCGGAAATGGACCAGACCACATCAGTCTACTTCAGTCCCAAGACTAGGCGGCCAAGACTTGTCATTATCCTCCCTTGTATTTATCCATATGTTGTAGATATCCTAATCATTATAGGATTAGGATAATCATCCCCTTTATTTGTAGCAATCCTTATCTCCTAAG